TTTTTTTTTTTTTTTTTCATAATGTTTCAGATGATACAGCGATTTTGTGTTATGGTGTTTATCTGTTAATTTTCCTATTTATTTATTTCCCTATCTCTGCATCTGTTTATTTATTATATATATATATATATATATATATATATATATATTTTTTTTTTTTTCTTTGCCCAATCTTTTTAATTGTGTCATTATTAATCTGTGTTTATATAATATAAATTACACGTAGGTTTACTTGGAAAAAATTATTTTATTTTATTTTTATTTTTCTTCCCCTGCAACTGTTATGAAACATTTTAATAAAAAAAAGTTTTTTGGGTAAAAATTTTTTTTTAACACGTTTGTTGCGAGGTGCTGCGTTTTAATAAGAAGGAAAAAGAGGGAAAAGCAGGAACAAAAAAAAGGGTTAGAAGCCAACTTGTGTGATTCGTGTCCTCTTTTTTGTTATACTCTACAAACTGATTTGTTGGTAAAACAATATGGTGGATGAGAATAGGAAAATAGGAAAATAGGAGAAGAGATGGAAAAGGAATTTTTTTTTTAAATAGAACATTTTGAAGACTTGCCACCGTTTTTTATATAAAGCAATACGTGCATATAATATTTATGTAAAATAGAATAAATTAAAAAGGTACGTATAAACCACATATAGGCGAGCGTTATTCATTGTTCACTTGTCTACGATTTATTTAAAGCTCCTTGGGTGGGTGTAAAAAATATAACTTACAAAAAAAAAAAAAAAAAATGAAATATAAAGGAAATAAATGTGTTATGTTTATTTGAGTGTTTGCGAAACTTACCCTTTGAGGTGTACTGATTTTACAAAATTTGCATGTATATTTTTGTTAAATGGGAAATAAACCTTTTTGCGGTGTGACGTGATAAGGTAAGAGACAAGGCCACGTATGAAGCGGTATGGTATGTTTTTTTCCCTTTTTTTTTGTCACTTATTTTTAGGGATCATTGTTGACTTCATTTTGCTATATATTTTATTAGCGTTATCGCTGTAGCATGACTGTTTAATTTTTTGCCCATTTGAATTTACAGATCAAATGAAAGGCATTTTACACATACTATACATTAGTAATAGACAATAATAGGAAATAATAGAAAATAATAGGAAATAATAGAAAATAATAGGACAATAAATAAAGAATATTATATTAACGGTATTTATTATATGGTGCCAAAATAAAGACATGTAAATTCTGTGTAAAGGATGGAGAGAACTACAAATTTGAACAACCTGGTTGCACAAATGTAGGCGAATTTAATATACGGGCTTTTTTCCACAAGTGCCCCTTTTTTCTAAAGGGCGCAAAAAAATTGCTAAATTATATTGACTTATATATATTTTTTATAGTTTTTAAAAAGAGGAGAATAAAGGACGAGTGAACACGATTCTTTTCTCTTTTTTTTAAGCGTTGCTCTCAAATTTAGAATTTTTAAATAAACCATGCGGTAAAATTATCATCCTTTGAATATACTGTAGTTTTTATATGGAGGAGGGGGTATGGCTTTTTAAGTTTATTTTAATTAAAATTATTACATAAAAAAAGAAAAATTGGATTTCGCAAGGTATTTATTTATTAGGATATGGTGGCATGACCCTTAAATGTGCAGATTATTGCAAAAAAAAAAAAAGTGACGCGCCTTTTTTTTTTTTTTTTTTGTTTTTTAAAAAATTGAAGAATGGGTGGAAAATTAATAAAAGCGTGATCGAAAATAAGGGTTTAAAACCCCGCGCATTTGGAAATCCCGTCAATGGTTTTTTGAAGTAGGAACGAATATAAAATGACCTTTAAATAAAAGCATGTATATATATATATATATATATATATATATATATATATATATGCGTACAATGATATTAAAATAATGGGATCTACAAATTTGGATCAAGGTTTATATATTATGTCTCGAGATACGGAATTTAACATATATTCTTGTTTAATTCTTTTTTTATGCATTTGTCCTCGAGGCACTTTTTTTTAACAGAGAATTGAGTTGAAAAGAACAATAAAAAAAATAAATAAAATATATAACAGGGGAAATAAATAAAACAGCAGTAAATAACTAACACATAATAAAGAGATAAAATGAATAATGAACAAATGAAAAATGATTATAAGTTAATTCCTTAACTTCGTAACTTGTAGAATAGGAAGAACATAATTAGCACAGAAGCATTCCACAATTCGTCCATTTTAAATATTAATAAAAAGAAGTGGTTGTTTCCCCTGCGTGTTTTATTTTTTATAAGAATAATATATATTTATATGCATCATCATTTTATATGTGAATAATATATATATATAGAATAATGCTTTAATAATATATTTAGCGAAAGAATAATTAAAATTGAGGAACAAAAAACAAATATTTTTACGCGGAAAAGAAAATACATTTCGTGATAATATTATAATTATTTATATGTATTTTTTATTTTCTGTATCTCTTTTTTTTTTTTTTTTTTTTTAATATTTTATGGGTAAAATGTTAATTGAAAAAAACTGCATTTTATATTATTTCTTGTAAACTTTTGTTTCTGTCTGAAGAACAGAAAAATATTAATTTTTACAAATGGGGGAACGTTCTATGAGAAGCAGCAGTTATTTATAAATGCATTTTAAATATTAAAAATTTTTTTTAATAATATTAGTTCTTGTTTTTTTTTTTTTTTTTTTTTGTTATAAACAATTTTTACGTTTTTACTGAATTGATTTTTACTCAATTTGGAGATAATAAGAAAAAACGTAAATGTTTTATGAAACATTTTTTATGGTTATGATAATTATTTATGAATAGGAAAAAAAAAAACTGTTTTTTTTAA